AATTAAACAATTATTCATACTGAGGCTCTCAACAGTACAAAATCAAAATGCAAATAGAATTGTTTCTCCCCAGCTGGCCACGCCCACTTCATCAGCATGCCCACTCTAACGCCCACAATCAGAGACGAAAAAGCAATCAACAAATATCAAAAACTTCGCTCATTCGTGTCATAAACAACAAGAAAGGAAAGCTAACTTCGGGCGGAACCGAAGTTGATATACCCTTGCAGAATACTCTGTAAATTATATTCTCCAAAATTATTCATATGATGCATTCTTAATACTCATAAAAAATCCCAACTTCCTAACTTTAAAAACACCAAAGTTATGACATTTCCAATCGTTCAGTTATATGTCAGCTATAGGATATAATCGGCCGATCCTTATGAAATTTGGTAGGTCGGATTGGCTGGCCAAATATAACACCCATAGAAAATGCCGACTTCCTAACTTTACAATCACCAAAGTTATGGCATTTCCGATCAATCAGTTATATGGCAGCTATAGGATATAGTCGGCCGATCCTTATGAAATTCGGCATGTCGGATTGATTAGCCAAATATAAAACCCATAGAAAATCCCAACATTCTAACTTTACAAACACCAAAGTTATGGCATTTCCGATCAATCAGTTATATGGAAGCTATAGGATATAGTCGGCCGATCCTTATGAAATTCGGCATGTCGGATTGATTAGCCAAATACAAAACCCATAGAAAATTACAACTTCCTAACTTTACAAACACCAAAGTTATGGCATTTCCGATCGTTCAGTTATATGGCAGCTATAGGATATAGTCGGCCGATCCCGGCCGTTCCGACTTATATACTGCGTGCAAAGGAAAGAAGGGTGTGTGCAAAGTTTCAATTCGATATCTTTAAAACTGAGAGACTAGTTCGCGTAGAAACAGACAGACGGACAGACAGACGGACAGACGGACAGACGGACAGACGGACAGACGGACAGACGGACATGGCTATATCAACTCAGGAGGTGATCCTGATCAAGAATATATATACTTTATAGGGTCGGAGATGTCTCCTTCACTGCGTTGCACACTTTTGACCAAAATTATAATACCCTCTGCAAGGGTATAAAAAGAGCAAAAAGTGCAGACGAGCGACGGAACCAATTCAAGTACAAAGGCCAGTTGGCAGTTCGACCTTCCCCCGCCGCCGCCCACTGAATTTTCGGCCCAATCCACCCACTTTCCCATCGGTGACGGGGTGTCGACTCACCAGGCCATGAATATTTTAGTAAATGCCGCGCAAGGCTTTGACTTTCCCACTTGGTCACCCGTGGTTCCTCACTATTTACCCAAAAAACAAAAAAAAAAAAAAAACCAAAGGGTTCTGTTTCTGGGGGATCCAACAATTTACGCCATTTTTGGAAAACTTTTCCTCTGCTTGTGCGTTCAGTTTTCCTCATGGCACACCCCTTTTGGTGGGGTATGGTAGGGGTTTCAAAAAAATGTGCAAAGTTTGTTGGTGTCGTCGTCTACGGAGCATTTGAATTACGTTATTGCCTAGAAGTATGCTTTAGTATTTTGCGGTTGAAAAAGTTTCAATTGCTTGGGTCGTCGACATTGCGTTTTTTATTAAATAAATTGCAATGCCACGTTTCTACGCCGGGATTTTCCCTCCATCTGTTTGCCGCTTTGTTATGCAAAAATAGCAAGTCAAAAGGGTTGTGTCTATTTCTCCCTCGAGCCGCCAACTCACCCAAGTGTTGAAGTGAAAAAGCCGGCATTGAGTAAACAAGTTGCTGGTTTTTCATGCATGCCCAAAGTGAAAGAAACTGGCTTTTAACTAGAGCACTGTTGTCAAACGGGGAGTGCGACAGAAAGGCCGCGGAAAGTTCATTAAATAATGAAACCAAGCCATTCATTTCGGTGCCGAAAAAAAAACACTTCCTTATAGACTTTTCCTTCCTTAGCTAAGTCCTTAGTTACTATTTTCCTCATACTTTCATATAAATTACACTTCATTTCAGAACTTTTTCATTATGTTTATTTCCACCTCATTTAAACTAAATAACAAACAATACAAATTTTGTTATTTTAAGAAACAAACTATCTAGAATTTTAATGTTTTAAATTTAAATACCTTTTTTTTATTTTATTTAAGCCACAATATTATTTGTACTAATAATTTTTAATTTTCATAATTATTTGTTTGTCAATTTTCTTTTTTAAGCCCCAATATTATATGTGTCAATAATTTGTTGAATCAAATTTTTAGAAATTGTTAATTTTAAGTTGTATTTAAAATAAATTATTTATATCCAACAATGCTGTCAGAAAAAAACTCAAACACACACATTTACTTAACCTAGTTTCATATTTTTTATAATTAAACTAAAGCATTTTATTTTGTTTATTATTTGGCATAGCCATAATTATTATTTAAGCCAACCTCTGGCAGACATGAATGCAAAACTCGTGTCGGAAGCCATGCAAAGCCATTAACACCATAATGCATAAGACCCCTGGAGGCGAACTTTATATATCAATTTGGTAATCCCCTGCGCTTAGCACATATCCAGGGCCAGGACTCAGGACTCAGGACCTCTTTTATAGGCGTTCTTTGCGTGCCCAGAGGTCTTGTGGTTCCTGCTGTTGTGTTATCCTTGCAGCGGTTCAGCTTGCACAGACTTTTGCCCAAAACTCCAGTTGTTAGTCCTAATTAATTATCGCAATTAGTTAAATGCAGCCAAGGAAGAGGAAGATAACGTCAGCTGACTGCGGCAAAAAATGAATTTTCTGCCTTCGTTTGCACGAAATGCTCAGATAATTCTCAGTTTTCTGTCTGCGTGTCTAGTTTTCATTTTCATTTCATTTAGTTTTTCCTGCAGTTTCCGGAAACTTTTTCTCACTATTATTTTACTTGTTTATTGGTTGTTTATACCCGTAATTGAATTGTTTAGAAAGGCCGAGTAAAGTTGGGGTCATGTGAAAATGCCAAAGAATAAGGCATTCCATTGTTTTCATTCGAATTGGGCATTTTGAAAGATACTATAATATTACAGTGGAATAAATTTGAGGGTTGTTGGTTCGACTTGTTTGTCGATGAACTATAAACTTTTTCCTTTATTTACCCAGTTACCTTGCTCATCTATCAACTCTTTTTGCAGCCGACGAAATCCAGGCAATTCTCATTGGAAATTCGAGGCACTGCAAGATGCCATTGAAAATAACATCTAACATCAGTAAACAATCTGCATTTTCAGCTACAAGACAATGCATATAGGTTTCCAGCCAAAGGATATAAGCATTGCCTGCAGGACCTGCGTGTGTGTGTGTGTATGACTAAGGAATCTTATGCTGCACACATGACTGAATTTAAGGAAAGGAAAAAAGGGCGGGGAAGGAGCAACAAAGTGGTTGCACAATCTGCACTGATAAATAATAAATCTTCAACATCGGCAGGGAGTCTCGAGGAGTTGGGTCCGCAGTCTGGTGTCCTGGCGACGATTCAACTAAAGCATAGACAGCCTTAAGTTTTGATATATTTGCATGCTGCAACAAAATGGCAACGCAGACAATGCGGGAAATCTTCGGTAATGAACTTTAATGGCGTCGTCATAAAATATTCGTCATATGCACTAATATTCCTGTGGGGAAATGGGCCTTATTAAGTGCATTAAACTTAACATTTATTGAAGGCAATTACATATATGATTTTGATAAATATTTCACTTAAAAGGGGTCTAAGTCTTAAGAGATCTGAAGAACTCGTTTTTCAACAATCTTACCATTTTAAAGTTAAGAAATTTTAATAATACCTTAAAAAGATTCAAAATAAAGCTTATAATTAACTACAACACGTTATGGGCATTTTTAATTAAATTAAATTAATTAAGTCTTTTTGTTCTTTACGGTATTAAAAAACACGTAAATTTGGTTCGATCATAACGTATACGTACATTTTCATTGTCATATTTTAGATGTTTATTTTTCACATTTTTTTCTTAATTTTTAAATGTCCCACTAAACTTATATTATTTCTAAAATCCCAAACTGGTGATGAAAACCCCATTGTAAGAATCGCAGTTCGCAGTTAGATGTCCGCTCGATTTTGTTTGTGACCAGAAAGTAATCAACAAGCAAACATTAATAGCGTTTCGGTGTTTGCTCGGTGGCTGTGTTTTCACGCAGATAAGAAGGCGAAAGGAAGGCGCTCCGTTGCCAAGCCACAAAACTTTGTGCGACTGTGCCGAAGACATGGCAGAAGTCCTGCTCCTGATTTTGGTCCTGTTGGTGGTGCCTTGCGCTTTGACACAAAGCTGCAAGGCAAGCGGAAAGTTTTCGGTGCGCCAAACTTTTGGTCAATGCAGTTACACTACAGGGCCGAAAACACGACGTGTGTGTAAGTGTTTTTTGTTGTTTTTTTTTTGTTTCCGTTCTGGCCAACTTTGGACTAGACTGGCGTGTAATATGAGCTAAGCGAGGTCAGCTACTAGCCACATTGTTGTTGGCCAGCGCGGCAGCCTTTTGTGCATATATACGCTTATAATTAAGCATAATATGAGCCAGATCCTGAACGCCAGCCTCCGTTCTACGTGGTGGGCACTAAGTGTTGGCATGTGGTTTTTACTGTTGCCAGGATTCCCACGTCCTTGTTGTTGGGATGTTCTGCATTTTGATATTTTCCTTTGTTTAGGGCTTGTTGCGGCAAACATGTCTGTTTGTGTGTGCGTGGGTTTTGTTAGCTCCTTTTTGCAGCATAATTTGCACAATTAACATTGCAATAAAGTTTTTACGCCAACAATTAAGCGCTCGCAAAGGAAAGTTTAATTGGTAAAATTTCCCTTTCAAGTAATTATAATAACCAATTAAAAGAAATTGTGCCTTCTTGTGCATTGTTTTGTATTGTCATGATTTTAATTTAAATTAATATTAAAGTACATTCAAAATTGTTAATTATTATTAACAAATTACCCGAAAAAAATAGGTCAAAAACGGAGACTGGGATTTATAATTCAACCAAATTTCGTTTGATAAAAACCAGTACACTAAAGACAAAGGGGCTCCATTTTTTTACTCCTTTTTTATAGGTATAGTGTATAGGTTTAGTCGACGCGACCATGTCCAGTTCCAGTCCCAGATTGCCGAAGAATCCAGACAGAAGACAGAGGCAGGTTAAGTTCCAAATAGGAGATGGCTTGCGAGCCAATAAGAACAGTTCACCAAAAGTCAAAAACAAAGACAGCGATTTGGTGATCCCATCGGAGCATTTGAAGGTGGAGGAAAACGACGAGTTCCAGCAGCTGAAGAATGTCTTCCAGAAACTGGACATGACCGACCAGATCGTCCTCTACCGCGCCTTCCGCCTCCTGCCCTCCGCCTGCTCCGCCCTCTGGCGCATCACCCGCAAACGCCTGGACTTTCGAACGCTCCACAACGAGCTCAACTTGGAGGCCCAGAACCACCTACTCATCAACATGACGGAGCACTTCAAGTACGTCTACTTCGTGGCCAATAAACTGCAGGTGAGGCCGGTATTATGTATTAGAATACTTGTATAACACATATCGTATATATTTTACTCAATTTACCGCAAAGATGTGTTGTTTAAAATAAGACTTGTTTATCTTAAAAACCATTTTAATATGTTAAATATATATACATTTTTTTAAGCTATTATTATTTATTTAACCCTTGCAGAGTAAATTATAATGTCATATTGTCTTATATGAAAAATTAGAACAAAAACAAACAACATTTAAAAATGTTTGTTTAAACAGTTAGAATATATTAATTGCACAAAGATTACCTTGAATATTTTTTGAAAATATAGACATTCGATTTTCTTTTCCTTAAAGGAGGTTACTGGGTTACAGAATCTGAATTTGAATAATTGACCGCATTCTCATTGACCCACTCTCACTTACAAAAGATAATTTAATAATTTTCAACATTAATTAACTGCTCTCTAACCTCAGGTGTATAAATTCCAATAATAGTAATTTAGAGTAAGCAAGTTTGGTAGTGACAGTGTTAAATCGATTGGAATAAAATCGGAATAATTTGTGTAACCTTACATTTACAGGATAACCTTAATACTTTGGAGCGCGCGGGTGTTAAGTCGCTAAACTCCGTGCAACGCTGTGAACTTCTGCTGATGGATGAGGGATCCGGATCGGAGGTGAGGAACACTAATCACCTGGACGGAGGAGATGCCGTCGGTGGAAAGGTAATGGCCCAGTGGCCACTGCACGCTCTGCCCAAACTGATGCGAAATGTGCGACGCCTAAAGGCTCATTGCAACATCCAGGTGCACTTCATCGGACACTTCGAGCACCTGGAACTGCTGGTGCTCTATGGCGTAATCTCACAAACTGCCCTCACGGGTCTCCTGGAGCGGTGTCAGAAATTGACCAGGCTGTTCCTCAAGTTCGACTGTGACACCTTGAGCTTGAAGTCCATCGATAATTGTCACAAGCTGAGGGACTTCTCACTTTGCGTGGGACTATTTGCCCGCCAAAAAGAACTGGTGTTAAAGTTGAACGATCTTCGTCTGCTGGAGTTGACACACTGCCAAAAGGATGTCCAAGTAACGCTGGAGTGCCTGGGAATCGTGTTGTCCCAACGACCCGACTCCGTGGAGCTGATCCAATTGGATTGCAGTGGCTTTCAGGATCCCAACTGGATGAAGAATGTGGGCTTGGATCGGTGTATTCGGATGCGAGGATTGGTCCTCTCCAACTGCGACTTCTGCGATCGCGAGATATGCCAGCTGGCGCTGCCAAGGGTTCAGAAATATATCGCACTGAATAACTGCCACGACATCAAGGACTACCAGGTGCTGGATATGGTGCACCGGTGTCCCGGTCTCTACGAGATCTACCTGATCGACTGCCCCCAGTTGAGCTGGAAGGTCCTCCAGGGGATTTACCGCATCCGTAAGAGCGAAAATCTCGACTACCCCATCACCGTGATCCTCAGTCAGTGCACGGAACTCAGGGAGGTCTATCAGAACATGGTTAGTGCTTTCTTTTTAAATAATTTTACATTCTTAAAGAGTGGTTTATCCACAAGAGAGGATTTTACATTAAAATATCTTGCAGCCGTAACAAATAATTTAAATAGATTATTTTACTTAAATCTGTCGAATCATTTACTATTGAATAACATGTCATGAATTTGATATTCTTTTTTGTTACAATAACTCCAAGCTGGCAAACTATAATTTAAAAAAATACTTAAGCTCAAGATCAAAATCACAGCCAATGTTTTTTGCCTTTAAAGCCCAACAAATCTGAGACCATTAAGTATTCATTTATGTTTTAAAGATTAACTTATCAATATTTCAGTATTCAAACTACTGGTGCTTCAAGCTGCCCTATCTCAAGATCGAGCGGACCCAGAACGGTAGTCGACCCGTCGAAAATATCCAGGTGTTTTTTAGAAACAAACCCTAGAATGTCCCATTTTAGATGCCCTTAACTGATATACAAAAGTACATCTAAATATATTTTGTTTAACTTTCCTAAAAATTCATTAAAATTGCAGTTAATGGTAATGTGAAGGGTTACAAAATATAATATGTGAACAAACGGATTTATTTCATAGCAACAAAGTCCAAACATTTTGCAATTTTATGCAGTCACAAGGTTTAAATTCCTTGAAAAATAAGGAGAATAGGGATACGTAACCAAGTATCATAATTTACTACTCGAGTTGATAAAGTTAATTTCCGTTAAACTCATAATAAGCCACACAAAGCAAATTTCTCATCCTCACCGGGACGCAACGACTGAAACCATAAGGCATTTTCAGCTTATTACGGCTCATTTCACAAACATTTTTGTGCCACCCACATGGGTTGGGGAAAAGCATGGAAAAGCGGCAAAAAATTCCGGACAAAGGAAGCCAAAAAGAATGGAAGAAGTGAAGCCGGAGTAAACGAGGCATGCGGCAGCCAGTAATGGACAATGGCTGAACAAAGACATGTGAATTATGTCATCTATTGTTTCTGGATTACTTCGAGGAGCCAAAAAGCACATGGCTACATTTGCGGGCCTTTTTCTACTACTCCTCACTACTTTTCGATTAATTAAATTGTGTTTTGGTTTCGCTCACTTATTGAATCTGCCATTGGAAGCCAATTAAATCGGCAATGAACCACGAAGAGCGTTAAATGAGATTTTAAGCTTTTGACAGATTGAATTTTGATTGGAAATCGGAGCTGAAAGTGGAATTGAAATTGCATTTATCGTTTGGCGACCGGGGCATTAATAAATATCCAACTACTGGGCATCCCGTGTATGCTTTATTTTATGGCGCAAGTGTAAGCGATGGGGTAAGGAAGTTGGGGCCCAAGATATTGTCCTGCTCCTGCCGTGCGTGAGGCCATAAAACACTCGAGAGTTATGGTCCTGGTCGATGGCTAAATGCATTGGTATGCGTAGCGTAACGAAAAACAATTAGCTGCGGCCAAATAAAAGTGGCCCACATGCTGTACACACATACACAGCACTCAGAAAATAAAAAGGATTTTTTCAGAATGGTATAGCTCTAAAAATTGTTTGGTTATTTTATTTTGAACAGACATAGAAAAATTGATTTGCAGAAAGATCACTCAGATTTCTAGACCCATTAACCATTTTTACGAGCTAACCCATTGAGAAATTAAAAAAAAAAATTTTTTAATGTGAAAAACATGCTTTCTGTATTTACATTTATATCAAAGTTTTAGAATGGCTCATCAACGATCAAAGCTTATGGAAACTTAGTTAGTTTTAGTTTTCTTGATTTAAGAACCACCACAATATATATTTATAAATGTTTTTTTATAAATATGGTACTTATTTTTTTACGTGTGGCTGTATGGTACTTATCATTGTTGTGCTGGTAAAAACTTTTATATGGCTTGATTCGCTTGTTTCCTGCCCAGTTGGAGCCACGCCCTCCATCCTTCCCCGGGGGTCTTATCACTTTATACTTTGTCTGGAGCGGATTGCTGGCGAAGTCATGTCCCGAATGACGAATTCCAGCCGGCTATTATGTTCACGACCCACTCGTCCGAAAGTTGCAGGCAACAAAAATTGTTTGGCCGGAATCGTGTGCATTTTACTTTCTGATATTCAATTAATTGAAGTTTTATTTGTCTGATTGCCAGACGAAAAGGTGGCGTTTGAGCCGCGAATAAGTGGATAACGATAAACAATTAAGCTGTTGAAATTGACTGTTTGTTGTGGGAGTTGAAAGAGATTAACAGACAACTCTGTTTGGATATAATTGACACAACAAAGTAAAAATCGTTTGTTTTAAAACAGTGATCAGAATGGAAAACTCTTACAATTGGGGTAAGAAAAATCAACCAATGAAAAGTTATTTTGAATAGCAAATAAATCAATATTTATATTGATAGAAACATTCTTGTCCCTTATCGGCATCGTTTTTAATTTCCTTTTGTGGATCAATTACCTTTACCTTATAAATTCCGCGTTGCAGCAAGCGGAGAATTTAGATAGCAGTTTGCCGATGTCCCCATTATAGTAAATTCCAAACAACGTAATCCTTTAATGCCTTTTTAGCTTTTGCTGCTTGGGCTATGGGTACTTTAGCAGGAGCTTTAGCTCCTTTCAGAGCCGGCTGCATCTCGAATTCCTTATTTACTTTATAGGTGCAGCCAAAGTAAACCAATACCAAAGCTATTTTAGTCGCTTACCGTGTTTCCTCATTTTTTTTTTGTGCTTCTTTGAGCTTCTTACCCCGACTGACTTTAATCAGTGGCATTCTAGGATGCTCCTCTCCTCCGCATTCTCCGGCTCCTTTTGCCCCACCACGTTGCCGTTGTCCTGCACTCAATTCGTTTTCTTTATTTTCCATCAGACGGAAGTCATGTGTGCCGGCTGCACATCCTTTATGCCGTGGCAGGGAACTGGAGCTTCGTCCCGACCAGGAGTCGCCTGCCAGCAGCAAGGACTCCTGCCGGACACACACACACACACTCATACCCAGACACACACACACATATTTAAGCCATACCTATAGGGCAGATAATCGCTTTACAATCAGGCAGGAAACTATTGCAAGCATGATTGTTTCCGCGAAACGTGTTTGCAGCCGAACAGTTTCCACCAAATACTAGGGAATAAGGAAATCAACTTTTACCCAAGAAAGTCGACACTGGCCGAATTCTCTGGGAATATCAATAAATATTTATAAATTTATTTGGTGATGATTCTAGCACTTTATCATGCTGCAGACATATGAATCAATTAATAAGTCAATTAATAGTATACTTTTAAATATCGTATATTACAAACATGTCTAAAAACTTAGTAAGTAAACAAAATAAACTTAAATAAGTTGATTCATTTTATTAACGGTTGATTTGGTTGTTAACAATACTATAAATTTATTACAATATTTAATACATATTTATTAGATGTTAAACTGGGTAAACTGTGTAAATTAAAATATGTTCATCAAAAATTGTGAATCTATTTTATATATAAAAATAAATTCATTAAAACTTAAAGATTCTAAAACAATTAAAAATCCTAAACATTTTTATTAACTATATGATATGATTGATTTTCTAAAAACAATAATATGTATTTATTTTTTATCTCAAAATGTGAGCTCCTTGGCTTGGGAGAAATATTATTTAAACTATTTGAAAAATGCAATTTGTCCTCGCATTATTAACAAGAATTCGCCACAAATTGTTACATTTAATCTAAACAAGGAGAACTACCTCCTTGACCGGCGGAATAAACTATAATTACTAACCGACAAATCAGACTTTCTGACCTTACGAAGGAGGCTTAAATGGAAGTGAGACCGCAGACCGAAACTCAATTTCAAATGTCAGTCAAATAAGAAAAAGGCCCGCTGGTGGAAATTCGTCTGACGGAGGCCGACCCGGCCGAAACCGCAAATAAATTACTGGGCCACGTTAAAGATTTGTTAATAAAGATAAATTTACTTATCGTTTATCTTGATTATGCAAAAAGCCTAAGTGAAAACTCAAAGACCCCAGGGTGGAGGCGCCACCGAAGGAGCAGCAGAGGAGCACAAAAGCCAGAAATGCCGGTGGCAATTGAACGAGGAGGCCAAGAAGCAGCAGATGGGCCTAAACTTTTTCATTTCCTTCAGGCCAGAAGGCCACCAGAATGGCCAACGAGAGTGATGAGGACGAGGTTAAGGATGAGTTTCGGCTGGCTACGGTATATGGGGCCATGAATAAACATAATATATATTGCACTGTTTTATACTAAATTAAATAACTTACCGCTCGATCTCGAAGCGGCTGAGCAGCCATTCTGGACTTAGCATATTTGCCCCGAGGACACGGAATCTTTTTTAAGAAAGCCAGTGTCATGGAAGCCAAGAGTCTGGCCTGCCTGAATAGACCTGGCTGTGTCAACAGCTCCTGATTAAGTTCTTAACGGGTCCTTGTGCCGAGAACTTTTCTATGGAAAGAATTTTGGCTCTTTTTGGCCGGCTTTTTGTGTTTGCGAAACCTTGGTTCCGAAGCTCACAAAGACTGTTTGCACTTTGGCACGGAATTAACGGGGTGGACAAATGATGCAGGAAATTGCTTATGTATTATTGCTAATTCTTTGCTGTTCGCATGGTAATTTTTTTTGGATTTTGAATTTATAGTTGGCTATTCAGGAAATCCTTTGGATAGACGATTTGTAAAATGCATATGGTTTTAATAACGGAAACAATTTTATAAATTTCATATGTTTTTTGGCTTTGCTTAATTAAAATATTATTATTTGGGTCAATTTAATAATAATTCTATTGTAAAGCATTTGGTAACAACAATAATTTTTTCTAACGCTGTAACTTATAACTACGGTTTTACACACTGACAAAATTTCAGTGATATTAAATAGTTTTCCACTTCAAAATGCCAAACAAGTCATCCAATCTAGTCCACTTGTGTGAAGTGGATAAAATAAAAGTTTCTAGCATTTAAATCTCCTGCTCGGCAACCACAAATTTTAAAAATAACCAAATATCCAAGAGCTGGAATTTGTGATACATTTATTATGCAATTTAATGGCCAAAACCAAGTGCAAATAGTTTGCTGACAAGGCGGTGAGCGTGAAGTGGTGAGGGGTGGATGAATACCCTTAAAAACCAACGGCTCAATCAAGAGGGAACTTGGCCAGAGCCAAAGTTCAACTAACAATTTGTTTGCCCGAGTGTGGGTCATTTGGGAAGTGGCCGAGCAGACCAGGCTGATTGGTGGGTCCTCTTGGTTACAGTTTAGTGGGCATCGAAACGGACACACTTTAAAATGTGTTGTTTTGGGCAAGGGCAAAGGTTTTTATTTATTGGCATATAAACCACAAATAGCAAACATGCCAAGATGGCAACGCACCCACAAAACTTTCCGGGAAACCCACAATACATAAATATTTCATGTCTTGACTTTCAATTTCAGTTTTTTCTCCTCATCCACAACGGTTTTGTCCTTTCTCGTTTCTCACTGGTTTGTTTATTTGTTTCGTTTCGTTTCGTTTCAAAT